GAAACATTTTGGAACATGTAAAGGAACTAAACATTTTTTGCACTGCCACGTTGTTTCACTTCTTATGTTGTTTTTTACGCACACGCAGCATCTCTTTGTAGGTAATTTCTTTTTATCAGTCGAGGAAATATGTTCCGGGAAATATGCCCAACGTTTGACCTGTAGCCGAGTCGGGCATTCATTTTGCGACGGTCTGCCACGCTTTGGATAGTTAGGAAGAGACAAATTATATAGCATGTCTTCTGCAATATTCTGCAATATAATGCTTTTTTATTCTTGGGCCATCTCGAACGTTATAAACAAACAAGAATCGACGCACGAGTGAAGCAACTATATAATCTAATTGTAAACTGCACGGCGTCCGCCGAAAAAAGTGCTTGACAAGTTAGACTCGTCAAAGTCTACAGTGGCCCATGAAATGAATGACGAGTCAGACTCGTCATTGTATGTCAAGGAGTTAAAGTAACAAATCAGTGATAAGTAATTTATTTGATAATGCTATTTTATAGCGTAAATTCTGAACTTTTTAAATCACTTTGATCTTGAGCTTATCTCTACCTCTGTCATTGAACCACGCAAAGAATATTAAAGTTAAGTAGTTCTGTAAACAGAGATACCTGAGTTTGCTGATCATTTAATCGATAAACCATTATGCCTCAAGTTGGCTGTGACATAACATTTTGTGGAATATAATTGAAGATACCGGTGACTGATTTTCCCTTTTCTTCTTATTTGTTTGTTTAAGTTAGTCGGAAAGAAGTCAAAGGATCCAACATAATAAAGGAGTAATATATATCATAGATTAATTTTAAGGCTCTTACATCATCATGAGAACATCCGTGGAGTTAACATGAAATTGACACGGAATCGATTTCCTTAAGTGGATTGTACGTCGATTGTACGTGAATGTTTTCGTCGAGTAGGTGCTCACTGCGACTGTCCTTGTTTAATGACGTCAAAAGCAAGAAAACGCATGCGAAGGATTCTTACATCGTGCGTTCAAATAAAAAGATATACTTACGAAATAACATTTGTGCGATCGATTCAGCATTTGTTAAATTGTCCGAATACTTTTCCTTTATTCGAACAATCAATAAATAGTCATAAAATTAATATTGACACAATCATGAAAAGAAGTTAAAAAGGAAGGTTCCATGTGAAATTAATTTAACAAAGTTAATTTAAACAAGAACAGTCGCAACGAGTACCCAGGAACCTTAGAAAATATATAAAACTAAAGATAATATGTAAGAATACGCATTAAATGTTCAAAATAATGTAATTTCAATGCTTTCTTTTATAATTTTCTATAGATATCATGGGTATGTCGGTTTTAAGCCTCGTTTCTAGAAATGTCAATCTTCAAACATTTTAAAAAAGTTATTCGCAAAGAAATATCTAACTATTTTATAAAACTATCATGTATTTTGGTGTAAAAAAGTTTCTGGTGTGCATCCACGTGCATAAATTTTAATCTTACATCTTCAACAAAATTTTAGAGCCCAAAAACAAAGTGGCATGTCGATTTTGGTGCTTTTTCTTTCTCTATATAGCCCAGTAAGCAAGAAACATTAAATCGATCTTTTAAAACATTGATTTTAAGTGGATTTTATAAACATTTTGATATAATATTTTACAGATGTCTTTAAACTGTTACTCGATAATATTATATTTTTAAATATTAAAATTATGGTATAAAAACATTATTTTAATGTTTCGATCAAATATCGTCAAAATATAGAGAAAAAGGTTTCTTTAGATTTTGTATTTCTATTTATTCGACTAAAATTTGTTTCGTAGAAACAATATATACGAAATATTATTTGTTTGAATAAAAATGTTATCGTCTCATTCAAGAAAACTCTACTATTTAACAGAAAGAACACAATTATTTGAAATAATATCTTTTAATCAAATAAAATATTATTTGGTTACAATAAATAAATGTAATATGTAACAAATCATTTCTTTGTAATAAAATTATCTTTCGTTTCAAGCAGATTTTGATTTAAGATACATATTTGTTGAAAAGTCTAACAATCGTACTTAATAATCGAAACAACAAAATTCTTTGGAGCATGCCAATAATGAAATTTGTTTGGGTGCAATAAAATTTATGAAATCTGAACATATCTTTTTCTCAGTGAAGTATCGTTGTATACGACGTAAAGAACTACATGCATTTAAAAACGATACATGTAAAATCGTTGCAATAACGTTGTGTTAACGATTTCTTGCTTACTGCGAGGTCCACCTTATATTGATCCATCATTGATACGTTGCGTTTTGCGGTTTCAGGGACAAAATCGTAACGGCGTCCTTCGACAAAACCGCGAAGGTCTGGTGCTCGCAGACGGGTCACTGCCTAGCGACCATGTGGGGCCACGAGGCGGAGGTGGTGGTGGCGAAATTTTCACCGACGCGATGCAAGCTCGCGACCGGCTCCATCGACGCGACGTCGAAAATATTCCACGTGGAGACCGGTATTGAAAATACCGCGATGTTATCTCACATAATAGAAGCGCCGATTCGCGTGCGGACGCGTTACGACCGCTCCGAGAGCGTAAGCCGCGAACGTCGAATCTACTACTTCTCGATCTCGCTCATGCGTAGCGCATCAATTTATCCCCTTCGTCCGCTTTGTATCCAATTATCAGGCGGCTCACGGTACAGCGCGGACGACTCCGATATTTTAATTACCCGAGAAGAACGAGACAGCGCCGTCGCTAATTCCGAAGCCTCTCCGCGCCGTCCGGAGTGGCGGCGATTCGGAATGCGAAATGAAATATTGATAATCGCGTTTGATTCCGAAAACGGACGCGCGCGATCCGTTTTTTTTTTTCACCACCGCACGGTGAATGCTCCACTTTAGTCTTTTTAAAGCGGCCCGAGCCGGATCGAACCAAGTCTTATCATTTAATCGTTAGTCGATTGAATAAAACGCCACAAGGCGCCGCGCATCCGAAATGTTTCTCGGTATAAAGCTACCGGGCCGTATTCCGCTTTTATGCGAGAGACACGATTTGGATTCGACAGGTCAGGAGCTGGGTACGCTGAGGGGCCACACGGCGGAAGTTATTGCGCTGCATTACAACGACGATGGAAATCAGATCATATCGGGTTCCTTCGACGGGACCGTGAACATCTGGGATACAAGAATTTTCGCGTGAGCCTCTTTTCCTCCTCACCCGCTTACGAATAAATTTCAGCCTCGAATATACGAATTTATTCGTTACGCGCAAGTAAATCTTCTCATAATTCTACTCATTATTTCCACCTGGTCATTCGAAGTCGAATCCGTCTGATCCTTTCTGATGTAAGCGGCGATGATCGTTTCGACATTTTATTCCGATCACTTCCCTTTCTTCTTTTATCGGCGCTTTTTATCTTTCGTTGCTCGAATATCGAAAAAGTACTTTATGAACATTTACGATATTTTAACTTTTCGAGTGCTACGGACGCGTGTATGGATATCTGACGAATTTCTTCCACTTCTACGTTGAGAGGAAAAATATCCGAAAAATAAAAACATATTTATTCAGTGACTGACAGGAAAATATTTGATATTTGTAATCTATAATCATCACACACTGAGAGAAGAATATAATTATTTTTAAGGACAACAATATCTTTTTTTTATTTTAACCACAAAAATAGTAGTAACAACATGCACATAAAGTTATTGATACTGACACTATAGTAATACTTACTAGAAAAGTTCTTTTAATTATTTTTCTGGTTATAATGAAAAAAAGATATTGTTGTCCCCGAAAATAACTACATTTTTCTCTCAGTGTAGAAAGAATTATAGTAGACAGAACCATTTTTCTAGTAGATGTTACTATGGTATCAGTGATAATAACCTGTGCATACTGTTACTACTATTCTTTTAGTTAAAAAAAGTATAGTTGAGGCAAAAATAACTGTAATATCTCTCAGTATGATTACTAATAATATGTTTTTTAATCTAATTTTTTCATTTAAATAGAATAAATAATCGCTTTTGTGAAAAGTTACAGAAAAGTTAAGGGAATGTATATTCGCTTTCGTGAAAAGTTATAGAAAAATTAAGGGAATGTATATTTTCTATTTGAAAACATGTTCTTTCAAGACAAAAATATATATCCCAGTATGAGTAAACATGTTATTAGTACTCACTGTATATTTTTTTATTTTGTAAATATTTTTTCTCTCATAGTATATACTTTCACCGCAAGTCAGTTATCCACTGTTGCGACGGACAATTATATACATATTCTTTTACGTATTTTGCGACAGTGATAAATCGAATTTCTCCGTTCATCACGTCATGATTTCCCAGAAAGTTATTTCTTCCACCGATTCACTTACGACAGCTCAGAGTATTCCGTCCTCAGCGAACATTTAGCTCTGAGGTCGCTGCGCACTCAAGGAGAGATAAGTTCAACGGTCTCCCGTTTCCTTTCCCCACGGTGCGATACGTGGCCCGATCTGCATTGCTGACTCGCGCCACCTGCGCGTAATTTCGGCGCGTAAAAACGCGGTTACTCATTCAATTCGAACACCTATTCCTCGCGTCACTGCGAGATTCCATTGAGAGCCCGACGCGGCACTCTTGACGGAACAATTGCAGACGTACGAGCGCGCTAATCGGGCATCGCGCGGAATTGTCCAACTGCCTGTACAGTTTCGACTGTTCGCTGATCGCGACGTCCTCGATGGACAAGAGCGCGAAAGTGTGGGACACCAGGACGAACTCCTGCGCGGCTACTCTATTGGGGCACGACGACGAAGTTCTGGATCTCGCTTTTGACAACAACGGCAGGAAGCTGGCGACGGCCAGCGGCGACTGCACCGCGCGTGTCTGGGACATAAGCGGCAACTTCCAACAGCTGGCCCTGATGCAGGGCCACCGGGAGGAAGTCTCGAAAGGCAGGTCTCGTTTTCTGCGAAAATTCGCCGATACGATGTACCTATCCCCCCGATAAACTCCCCCGATCGTGCGTTTCAGTGTGCTTCAGCCCGAACGGGAGTCAACTGCTAACCGCCTCCTTGGATAGAACGGCCAGACTGTGGTCCACGGACGACGGCAGCTGTCTCCAACAACTGAGGGGTCACACCGATGACGTGTTCACCTGTGCATTTTCCTACACCGGCGACAGCATAATCACCGCCAGCAAAGACAACACTTGCACGGTCTGGAGATGACTGGACTGGTTCCAGGTGTGCGGTTAGCTTCTGCTTGTCGCTCTGTTCGTCGCCTACGTCATATACTTTTACGTTATCTAAATATATCGCGTGGAGACACAGGGAAATAATTTGTCTTAAGTCAAGAATAAATACTTTCATATATAAGCAAGAATATTATAATCTTCTTGGGAGACTTTTAGTCTTGATTTTATTGAATTTATATTGATATAAATATTACTTGAACTTAATCCAAGGCTAAAAATCTTGTAAGAAGATTATAATATTTTTACTTACGTATGAGAATATCTATTCTTGATTTAAGATTAATTTTTTTCCGTGTATGCGGAACAAGCTCCCTTATTCTGTAACTTGTAACGAAAATTTCGCTATCGTTAACGTGTCGCGTTGTGCGGTTATTTTGTAATACATTTTGTCCGTGGAAAAATTTATAACGCACCGTGTTATGCTTGTAACGTATATGTTAAAGGTTATCGAATAAGGGCGTAAGGCGATCGGCTCGGTTCTTCGACGAGCGGAACAGGCGGCGAGCGCGCAAGTGATTTTACGTTCCATGATTCCATCGAACAGCGATATGCGTGTGACGATTCTGATTGACATCGGCGGAGATACATCGGTGTTAATCGCGCGTTCATCGTGCAATGAATATTTACTTATGCGAGCGTTATGCGAGCACGGGCTGTTGCCGAGTCATGGATATGCTTATTAAAAAGCATGAGAAGCTAATATAAGCGCCATTTACACTTATCAACGCAGATAATGAGTAAATGAAGAGTAACCACGGTAACAGCAATAGCCACAGCATGTATTTCCGCTTTGAACATTGACAAATCGATAACATTGTCAGACAAGCGTCGCTCTGGATGTTCTCGTTCAATATTAATTATCTGCGACCGATTTAATCAATGTGTGTGCGCACGCTAGAAATGGGCGATACGATCCGAATGTATCGATACATCGTACACACCGTGAATGAAAATATCGATACGCAAAATGTATCGTACGCTTTGTATCCGTATCATCAGTATCGATACTTGAATTGCATTAAAATATTGGATTAAAAGCAAGGAAAGTTATCTTTGATAAATAACGTCGTTACCAAGTCGTTACTGAAGATATTACTGTTAACTTGTAACAGTAATATCGTAATGCATATTAATAGCGCATTACTTATCAACTTGATTAGAAATAGCTATGCTGTATATGTTATATGAATGTAATTAGATGAATGGCATATATTTATGACGATGTTTAAATAATTACGCTAACATTATTTTCTAAATAAAAATGACACATTTTAAATAAAATTGTTTTACTTATGAAACAAATTATATAATTTTGTACAATTATTATTATACGTCTCATAATGTACAAAATGATATAATAATAAATTATATTATTCTGTACATCATGAGACGTATAATAATTTATAATTAAACTCTATAAATGTCAATTTCAAATAGTGAACTGTTAACGAAATGTTTACAAAACGTCGGAAAGAAATCCATAAAAGACGCGGCGCTAATTCGCCAAATCAAATATTTATAAATGTCAATCGCTGAGATCGAGGAATTGTAAAAATAAAAACTGATTTTAAATGATTGTTCGTCAACCTATTTCGCTCCTCGCTCATTATTTTATCAGGTTCAGTTTTTGCTTTAGAACTCTTTTCTTTCGGAAAAACTGAAGTCGCAATTAATGATTTAATTGCTAAGGATTTTAGATAAGTCATCAGAGAGGCAGTCGAATTGGAAAAACAATCGCCATCACAGACGATCAACAAATATCGAAGTTCGGTATTTAAGGGCCGCGTATCGATATGTGGAAATATCTAATATAAAAATATCTAATCGAATGTAATATATCTAATCCAAAAAATAAGACATCAGTACAAAATATCGATATTTAAAGTTTCGATACTGTATCGCCCTTCTCTGGTGCGTAGGCATGTGTGCGTGTGTGTACACCTCGAGGTGTACGTCGTACACCTGTACGTCGCGAACAATTTCGTACAGTTGCTTGTAAAACTGCTGACACGCCGCATTGTTACCTCCCAAATAGGAATCGTCTAACAGCGGCCGCGAGCAACAACCTCACCGCATCTCTCCTCTGAGATGACTCAGTTCGAGGTGCGCGTGATTCCCGATAAGCAACGTAGCGCGGTGTATGTCGGGAGAATGCGGGATATGTAAAAATCGTCGATGTAAACGCGCGTTCTCCGGCCGGAGCCGCGACCTCCAAGACACCGTACCCGATCTGCGATCGGGAGATATGCCCGGGAGATGCCGATGGATGTTTGAACCTGCGCTCCGACGTGTACGTTGAATACTGCGCGGACCCCACTCTTCGAATTCCCCAGTCACCGACTACTTGGACTACCATCGGTTAACCGGCGAGAGTCCAAGGCAGTCTTCTCCAACCGGTGATCTCGTTCGCGCCGGTGTGTGCTTTCACGGAACAAAACACGCGCGTGATGTGTTACCTTCTCGGCGCCTAAAAGGCGGACCATCGGTCGTGATATGGATACCACCTGTCGCGACGGAACAGTAGCTGTAATCGCGCGCTGTGTCGCACCGATCACGAGACCTTGCCATTAGCGGGGTCCAAGTCGCGGCCAATTGGCGTCTTCGACGTATTGCCTAAAATATAGTAAGTATGAAGCGAACCGAAGCGAAATAAAATATAATCCTGCTATAATCTCGTGCCTCTCGGAGTAATAATAACAGCATCTGTAATAATAATCGTGTAAATAGCGCGGAAAGCTACGTGAGATCATAGATAATTTGCTAAATCCTTCTTTATTTATGATGACTTAGTTAGATAGGAGGATTACAGGACTATAAGAAAGGATCACTGTGTGAGTTTCACTCGGTTTTACGCAACGCGTCGGCTATCGGAAGAAGGGGAAGAAGGGGAGGCTTCACGCTCGTCTACCGTGTACCAAGTATAGCTATAATCATTCCTCTTCCTCGTTTTCTTCGTAAGCCTACCGTTACGTTAATTAATTATATAGCGATGTGCGGAACAGAAGAGAGAGAGAGAGAGAGAGAGAGAGGGGCGTGCAGACGGACGCAAATTAATTAACGGAAGCGCCAACGCCGGTATCCATCGGGAGTCATATAATTAGCGTCGCCGAGTCGCGAAACCATCGCGGTGCAACGCGACTCACGGCGATTTCCCGAGCCGTTTTCCTTCCGCCGCTCGATTCCGATGCGCTCGCGCCGCGCGTACGTGCGTGCGCGAAGATTCAGATGAGAGGAGGTTGAGCGATGGCCGGGCGATTCATAACGATAACAACCGCCCATCCCCCCCTCCCCCGCCGACTGTTACGACAGGATAAAACAAATGTCATTACGAGTTCGCGATAAAGCACGAATTTGCGTGAGTCCTCCTTCGTTCATAAATTCGGGGAGAGACGAGCGCGCCGTCGTTTGACGGTGGTATTTTCGTTCGGCCTTTTCAAGAGTAAAGCAACGCAAAAAGCCTCATATAGCAAGGAACGTTAGACAAACCAGTATGAGAGTCTTCACATTTGCCAGTCTCAATCGAATTTCCCGACCACGTACATTGTTTCCACATATTCGTGCATCGTGACTGTTGATCATACGCCGAGGAAGCGGCAAGGTTGCCTGCGTGGAAAAAAAAACTTGGCTCGCGCACTGAGGAAGACTTCAATATTTATTTGCAGAATATAAGGTTTAATTCGCAGAAATAAACGTTTACTTCAACGGCGAAATGAAGTGTTATTCCTAACAAATAAATCAATTAAGGCTCCGGAGTACGCTAGTCGAAATTTTAGAGTCTACATTAAGTTTTCAAGTGAAGAGAACGGAAATAAGTTCCTAATTGTAGCATCAAAGGAACACATTAAGTGCTTCTTTAATGCTACAAAGGGAATTTAGTCCTCCAGAGTCTAAATTTTAATTTTATATTAAGTCTTTAAGTTAGGAAAACGGCAATAACTTCCTCATTTGCAGCATCAAAGGAGCACAATAAAAGATCTCTGTATTTAATGTAAAACTAAGTCAGACTCCAAGTACGACTCAAATTTCGACTCAAATTTCGACTCGGGTAGTCGCTATAACTGTTCTTGTTTATGACGTCAGAAGTGAGAAAAATGCATGCCAAGATGTTTTGCGTTATACTTCCAAACAAAAAGATATGTCCACAAAATGACATTTATGATCGATTCAGCATACTTGTAAAATTGGATATTTTTTTTTACTTGAACAATCAATAAATAGTCGCAAAATTAATTTAACATGGAACTTTCTTTCCTAACCTCTTTTCTCATGATTTTGTCAATGTTAATTTTACAATTATTATTGATTTTAATATTGATATTATTATTGATTATTCGAGTAAAAAGAAATACATTTTATCCTTTCTGACGTCATTAAACAAAGGCAGTTACAGCAACTACTCCTGAATCTTAATAAGAAAACTTAAATATATTTCACAAAAATATATATTCCGTCATTATTCATTTTTTTTAACCAATAAATATCGGAAAAAATGTTACAAGAAACATTTACCTCGCAAAATTTCAATTTCTTTATTTCAGTGCGTTTTGAATTTGAATTTCTGTTATCGGAAGATTAAACGAAAACGGCTACCGTAAACTTTGAAATTTGTGGAAACAGAAAAATTCCTATCGAAGATTTTTATTCAGCCAATTCGGTCCTCAGATCATTGAAAAAAGGATTTGGTAATAAATATTAAAATTTGGTAAATATTTGCCAACCAAACACTTACTGCAATCAAATAATTCAGTTCTGTATACTAAATATATAATATACGGAACTAAATTATTTGGTTATAGCAATCAAATATTTGACCGGCAAATATTTATCAAATTTTAATACTTATTACCAAATCCTTTTTTCAGTGTTTAAACACGGATAAATCGCAGTCTAGACTTGAATTTTCAAAATTTCCAGTCAAATTTGCCGTCACGATAACGGAGATGTCGTTTCTCGTCATTGAATTTTCGTCTGGTCCGTTGCATGAAACAGGATTTTGTGTATATAACACCGATAATTTTGTATATACGCACAAGATGAGCTATACACAACTATAAGAAAGGAAGTGAATTATCATATTTCTCGTCTTATCACATGAAGTGTATGAATAATCATATCAAATCTAATGTAACACTTGGTATAAATTTAGCCATTAACATAGAAAGAAGGCACTAACAATGAGCACTTGACGGTAGAAAATAATCGTTCGCAAAGTGAATATCGTTTTGCTTGATGTCGCTAAATATTTCATATGAAAGTATATTAAAATATTAATAATATAAGCGATATAAAATATTAATAAGCCAATTTTACTCTGCGTGTTAAAGTTACTCCAACCGGTTAGTGCATGTGGGATTTTTTTAAGTGTGACGTAAGGTGTATAGACTTCGTGCGAATGTGACGTGTTATAAAAGTTTGGAAACATTCATGCGATTTTTCTCGCTCCCGAGAGGCATCGGACAGAATCGTAAGAGAAGTAATTAGAAGAGTGGTAATCGGTGCACGAATATAATGCAACGAATCGGGTGAGAAGGACGGGAAGGTTACTAATGGACGAAATCGCGTTGAACTTAAAGACGTTCCGATCGACGATCCTCGCTGTCGCAATTTTGAAGATTCTATTCCGCGAAATTAAGGATACGTACATACACGCGACGCAATTGCGACGAATGGTCTTCCGATGAGGAAGGGAAGGAAAAAGAGAGAGTGACCTACTATGTGAGCCTTGAATTTGATTCGTCTGCAGAATTAAGTCTGAGTACACATTCCGCGCAGGGTGCATAATAATTTAACTGTGATGTCTATTATCTTGTTACTTCGACTGAACGCTATTACGCTTTATTCGCACCTATCAACGATCATCTTACTAAGATACTACAGTGGCATTCAAAAAGACGTGGTAGCACTCTTGACGTCTGAATAAAAGTACATCTTATAGATGCGCGTACGCTCAATAATAATTCATGCAATGTTTTTTTTAAGAAAAACGTAACGATAAAGACTGTCAACTGTGTCGTAAAGATAAAGATATCGATACGCACCGTTGTGACAGTACTCTAAAATTATTTTTTGCCGGACGATATCTTTGTTATTTTTGTTACAAGATATATCATTGCTTTTAGCACGTTGTG